AGTGGTGCGATCTCAGCTCACTACAACCTCCGCCTCCCAGGTTCAAGCGATTCTCCTGCCTCAACCTCCCGAGTAGCTGGGACTACAGGCGTGTGCTACCATACCCAGATAATTTTTGCATTTTTAGTAGTGATGGAGTTTCACCATGTTGGTCAGGCTGCTCTCAAACTCTTGGTCGCTGGTGATCTGCCTGCCTCAGCCTCCCAAAGTGCTGGGATTACAGGCGTGAGCCACTGCACCCGGCTTGATGTACACAATTGTATAAAAATATCTATGTATATAAAATATCTAATCTCTTCACTTATGTCCAGTGCTACCAGTTCTCTCAATGACATATGTTGAAATCATTAATATTTTCTTTGATTAAATGGATTTAAAACATTTGCTAACACAAATACCTTAAAACTCCAGTTATGGGCAACTTTTTTTATCTTGGTACTTTGACGTTACGATGTTCATTTTGTCTCCAAAAGAAAAAATAGTTACTCTGAGCAATTTGAAATAAAACTAAGTTTCTTGATTATCTGTGGGCTTGAAAAGTTGCCTGGGAATTAAATTATTCAGTCTCAAATTCTGAAGTCTGGAAGACACTTGTGGAGATTCTCCCACCTGTTAGAACAATTAAAAGAACAAAGTTAACTTTGTAAAAATGTAGTTAGACTACCCTATGTACTTCTATTCCCTCTGCTTCAGAAAAAGAAATAATGCACCTTCACCAACCCTTGAAAGGCTTGAGCAACCAAAGCAATTGGCTATCAGCTCCTTGTAGGATCACATCTGCTTTGCTCACTGTGGTATCTCCAGGACCCAGCTCTGGGGCTGGCATTTAGAAGTAACTATGTACTGAATTAGTACATGTGTCTAACTTCTAAAGGTGTAGACAGGGCTCACTACATAATTTGGCAGCCCAGTCCAAAATTAAAATGATGGCCCCTTGTTCAAAATTAAGAATTTCAAGATGGTGATTACAGAACATTTTTAATTTTTTTAAGTGTGGGGCCTGAGTCCTGGAGGACTGCCCATGTTGCCTGCCCATGAAGTCAGTTCTGGATATGTAAGATAAAACATTGCAATGCTACAGTCATATTCTTTGTGCTACTGATGATTCCAAAGTGGGCCAGTATCGTCATGAAGTTTCACCACCATAAAGAAATGAAAAGAGTAAGCACAATTCAATTTTAGGGAAAGGGTCTTTCTTTGGAATTGCCTCTCTTTTCTGTTCATGTCAAAAGCCTTATTTCAGGACTTCTGTAAGAGATGACAAGTTTAATTTCAGAAAAAAGATGTTTTCCTGAGATGGAAATTCCATCAAAGAGTTGATCTGGGATACAGAATGGAACTTAGCAGGGATTCTACTGTCCAAGAGGGGAAAAAGAAGAAACTTCCCCCTCCACCCTCAACTATGTCCATTTGAATCACTTTTCCCAAAAGATCTGACCCTCAGCCTCTTTTCCCAATCTGGCTAATGGTGCTGGATCTACCTGTATGCCTGAGCCAGAAGCCTTGGAGTTATCCTTAGACCCAACCCCCCACCTGAATCCAACTGATCATTACGTCCCATCAGCTATATCCTTAGCATCTCTTCTCCATCCCCATTGCTACGTCCTAATGTTAGAGCCTCCTCATTTTACCCAGGTTACTGAAATAATCTTTCGGCTGGGAACTCATTCCCTACTCTCTCCCTAACCATCATCATCCACTAAACCTCAGTCAACATCACCTTCATAAATTTCAATTCACAGAGCACTTAAAATGCTTCTACTGTTCTCCATTGCAATCAGAAGAATGTACAACCTCTTCAGAAGACCCTGTGTCCATCCTCCCTGCCAGTTCCTGTGTCTGCGGCCCATCCTCTCACCGTGCCCTGTGCTCCAGCCATGCTGTTTTACACCTGTAGTCTCCTAATGTGCCAGGAATTCACATACTGTGCCCTGTGTCAGACCGACTCTTAGAGAACCTTTTCCCTGTGCCATATCCATCTGGGGACAAAGGATCTAAGTATTCCCCATTTACAACTCAGCCCGGTTCTGGCAGGTTACATCAGCACTTTTTTCACTGGGTTCCCCCTTCTTACCTTTATTACAGCCTTGGAAGCTTAAAGACTCAACTGAACAAGTCTACTGCCAGCACTTAAAGCAATTCTTATGCTTCTATTGGAACTACATTTGGAAATTACTTATAATCCCACCTTTTTTTTTTTTTAAACACAAAATCCATTACCCAAATTGGATCCTCTAATTCATAAAACCAGAAAACAAATGCCTTTGGGTTATTTCCTAAACTCAGAATAGGTCTCAGTAGAAGTTTGCTCCCCTTATAAACATTCAAAAGGATCTTTTACTGCCTCAAAAGTGATTCCAAAAGGAATTGTCAAGGTAAAGGGGGGCACTACAAGAATAAAAGTATGACTTTCAGTACAACCTGAAAGAACAATATTCTGAAGGTCTGATTTTTTTTGAAAAAGTTTCATTGCCATATATTCATGACTCATATTTTGATCACTAAGTATTTCCGAGGTATTACCATGTGATCATCAATTGTACCAAATGTTCTAGCATATCAAAAATGATATACTGTCCTCAAGAAGCTTCATTTACAGAGTCAAGGTTATTGCAAGTGCAGTACAGAAGGGGTGTGTGCCCTCCTACGGGAATTCAGAGAAAGAGAAGCCTTCAGGAACAACACAGAAACTGAGCTGGATTACAACCTGTCTCTTATACACATCTAGATGTGTATAAGAGACAGTCTCAGCTCACTGCAACCTCCGTCTCCTGGGTTCAAGCGATTCTCCTGCCTCAGCCTCCCAAGTAGCTGGGATTACAGGCATGCACCACCATGCCTGGCTAATTTTGTATTTTTAGTAGAGACAGAGTTTCTCCATGTTGGTCAGGTCGGTCTCAAACTCCTGACCTCAGGTGATCTGCTCGCCTCGGCCTCCCAAAGTGCTGGGATTACAGGCATGAACCACCACGCCCAGCCAGAGTGTGAGGTTCTTTGTGGGGTATGAAAATGTTCCAGGTTGGGCACGCTGGCTCACACTTGTAATCCTAACACTTTGGGAGGACAAGGTGGGAGGATCATTTGAGCTCAGGAGTTCGAGACCAACCTGGGAAACATAGTGAGACCTCGTCTCTATTATTTTAAAAAAAAAAAAAAGTTCTAAAATTGATGACAATGGTAATTGTCCAATTTGATGAATATACTAAAAGTCATTGAATTGTATACTTAAACTGGGGAAATGTATATGAATTATATCTCAATAAAACTATTAACCATTTATGCCTGAGGTTGCAACTTTCTGAATTTTTGCGATTGGACGTTGGCGATGACCTTGAGCAGTGGGATATAAATAGTTCTCACATGTTTAGTGTCCCAATAATGGACACTACGCATAAATGGGTTAACAGATACATTTTTCCTCTTGACTTTTTCTTTTACCATTTAACATAGGTAAAAATTTAAAAATCAAATCATTCTGAGAGAGAAAAAAATTCCTAAGTGGAACATATTCAAAATAATGTGCTCCCAACTCAGAAAGCATTTCCAAGGAAAAGTCCCAGGTAGGCTGGGCCCCAGGCGGCAGTGATGGAGTGAGCAGCAGTCTTGTAAAATGACCACAATCCAACATCCTAAGAGGCATGTCAATAATATCTACAGAAGCAGTTACAGCTTTTCTTTGCCACTGCTTCAACCCATTGGCAAAGATAACACACGACGATCATGAAAGTTACGAAGGCATTATCCTAATAATACGACATGTTTTAATGCACATAATTTTTTTTTTTTTTTTTTTTTGAGATGAAGTCTCGCTCTGTCATCCAGGCTGGAGTGCAGTGGTGCGATCTCAGCTCACTACAACCTCCGCCTCCCAGGTTCAAGCGATTCTCCTGCCTCAACCTCCCGAGTAGCTGGGACTACAGGCGTGTGCTACCATACCCAGATAATTTTTGCATTTTTAGTAGTGATGGAGTTTCACCATGTTGGTCAGGCTGCTCTCAAACTCTTGGTCGCTGGTGATCTGCCTGCCTCAGCCTCCCAAAGTGCTGGGATTACAGGCGTGAGCCACTGCACCCGGCTTGATGTACACAATTGTATAAAAATATCTATGTATATAAAATATCTAATCTCTTCACTTATGTCCAGTGCTACCAGTTCTCTCAATGACATATGTTGAAATCATTAATATTTTCTTTGATTAAATGGATTTAAAACATTTGCTAACACAAATACCTTAAAACTCCAGTTATGGGCAACTTTTTTTATCTTGGTACTTTGACGTTACGATGTTCATTTTGTCTCCAAAAGAAAAAATAGTTACTCTGAGCAATTTGAAATAAAACTAAGTTTCTTGATTATCTGTGGGCTTGAAAAGTTGCCTGGGAATTAAATTATTCAGTCTCAAATTCTGAAGTCTGGAAGACACTTGTGGAGATTCTCCCACCTGTTAGAACAATTAAAAGAACAAAGTTAACTTTGTAAAAATGTAGTTAGACTACCCTATGTACTTCTATTCCCTCTGCTTCAGAAAAAGAAATAATGCACCTTCACCAACCCTTGAAAGGCTTGAGCAACCAAAGCAATTGGCTATCAGCTCCTTGTAGGATCACATCTGCTTTGCTCACTGTGGTATCTCCAGGACCCAGCTCTGGGGCTGGCATTTAGAAGTAACTATGTACTGAATTAGTACATGTGTCTAACTTCTAAAGGTGTAGACAGGGCTCACTACATAATTTGGCAGCCCAGTCCAAAATTAAAATGATGGCCCCTTGTTCAAAATTAAGAATTTCAAGATGGTGATTACAGAACATTTTTAATTTTTTTAAGTGTGGGGCCTGAGTCCTGGAGGACTGCCCATGTTGCCTGCCCATGAAGTCAGTTCTGGATATGTAAGATAAAACATTGCAATGCTACAGTCATATTCTTTGTGCTACTGATGATTCCAAAGTGGGCCAGTATCGTCATGAAGTTTCACCACCATAAAGAAATGAAAAGAGTAAGCACAATTCAATTTTAGGGAAAGGGTCTTTCTTTGGAATTGCCTCTCTTTTCTGTTCATGTCAAAAGCCTTATTTCAGGACTTCTGTAAGAGATGACAAGTTTAATTTCAGAAAAAAGATGTTTTCCTGAGATGGAAATTCCATCAAAGAGTTGATCTGGGATACAGAATGGAACTTAGCAGGGATTCTACTGTCCAAGAGGGGAAAAAGAAGAAACTTCCCCCTCCACCCTCAACTATGTCCATTTGAATCACTTTTCCCAAAAGATCTGACCCTCAGCCTCTTTTCCCAATCTGGCTAATGGTGCTGGATCTACCTGTATGCCTGAGCCAGAAGCCTTGGAGTTATCCTTAGACCCAACCCCCCACCTGAATCCAACTGATCATTACGTCCCATCAGCTATATCCTTAGCATCTCTTCTCCATCCCCATTGCTACGTCCTAATGTTAGAGCCTCCTCATTTTACCCAGGTTACTGAAATAATCTTTCGGCTGGGAACTCATTCCCTACTCTCTCCCTAACCATCATCATCCACTAAACCTCAGTCAACATCACCTTCATAAATTTCAATTCACAGAGCACTTAAAATGCTTCTACTGTTCTCCATTGCAATCAGAAGAATGTACAACCTCTTCAGAAGACCCTGTGTCCATCCTCCCTGCCAGTTCCTGTGTCTGCGGCCCATCCTCTCACCGTGCCCTGTGCTCCAGCCATGCTGTTTTACACCTGTAGTCTCCTAATGTGCCAGGAATTCACATACTGTGCCCTGTGTCAGACCGACTCTTAGAGAACCTTTTCCCTGTGCCATATCCATCTGGGGACAAAGGATCTAAGTATTCCCCATTTACAACTCAGCCCGGTTCTGGCAGGTTACATCAGCACTTTTTTCACTGGGTTCCCCCTTCTTACCTTTATTACAGCCTTGGAAGCTTAAAGACTCAACTGAACAAGTCTACTGCCAGCACTTAAAGCAATTCTTATGCTTCTATTGGAACTACATTTGGAAATTACTTATAATCCCACCTTTTTTTTTTTTTAAACACAAAATCCATTACCCAAATTGGATCCTCTAATTCATAAAACCAGAAAACAAATGCCTTTGGGTTATTTCCTAAACTCAGAATAGGTCTCAGTAGAAGTTTGCTCCCCTTATAAACATTCAAAAGGATCTTTTACTGCCTCAAAAGTGATTCCAAAAGGAATTGTCAAGGTAAAGGGGGGCACTACAAGAATAAAAGCATGACTTTCAGTACAACCTGAAAGAACAATATTCTGAAGGTCTGATTTTTTTTGAAAAAGTTTCATTGCCATATATTCATGACTCATATTTTGATCACTAAGTATTTCCGAGGTATTACCATGTGATCATCAATTGTACCAAATGTTCTAGCATATCAAAAATGATATACTGTCCTCAAGAAGCTTCATTTACAGAGTCAAGGTTATTGCAAGTGCAGTACAGAAGGGGTGTGTGCCCTCCTACGGGAATTCAGAGAAAGAGAAGCCTTCAGGAACAACACAGAAACTGAGCTGGATTATAACACTGAGAGAGAGAGGATGGTGTGGGGTGATCATCTTTGAACTACTTTATCTTCCTTCTGCTATATATACCCAACGTACTACACCCACTCCTTCTGGTTGCCATGGAAGAAGGGTCCTCTGTCCCTAATCCTGTCTCAGGGCAACCCTTCTACTTATTCTCTTGATTTTTCCCATCTTACCCACATCAGGACTCCAATTCTGCAATTATCCTCTCTCTCTGAATCATGAATTTCTGGTTCTCCATTGGACCATTCTCGCAGCACACTAAGATGCCTTAATGTACTCATCCAAAGTAAACAAACCAATAAGGTTTTCCTTGACCACAAGTCCTCTATTCAGATACAACCACCTTTGCTTTTTTCAGCAGCCCTCTTCAAAACCTGTCTCCACTGCTTCCTCCACCCTTTCGGCTCCCATTCTCTCATCAGTCCCGTCAGTCCAGGCTTTTTTTCCCTCCCCACAACCCTGGTTTTCCTTCTATCTCACTTCCACTCCTTTTTAGTTCCTCCTCCTCTGCTAGATCTCTAAAAGCTGGGAATACCCCAGAATTCTGTCGTCAGGCCCCCTCCTCTATCTGCAGTCTCTTCTGAAATTAACCCACCTAGTCCTTTCAATATCACTACATGCCAATGATTCCCAAGTGGACCTTTCCTACCCTACTCCCTGCTGAGGCTCTAAACTCCTCTACCAACCACTGACTTACTCAACAAGTCCA